GACATTGGGGGGAGAGCGGTCCAAAGGTNATTTAGAATTTAATTTTAAAAAAATAAATTGGATGAGAGATGATTTACTAATATAAAGGAGTGCTGCCCAAAAGTCAATTAACCAAAGTTATAGTTTAAATAATAATAAAAAAATTGTTTTGGAACAGCTGAATTTTATTTCCAAGTAAATCAAATTGACTTTTGAGTCACCTTGTACAATACGACCCATTTGCATTTGGTAAAAAATTAATTTAATTTAAAACCTGTCAAAAACGGAAACCTTCCAAACCGGAAGAGATATTCGATACCGCTATATTCCGCTATACACAGGTTTAACTGTATTCATTCTTTTTTAGTAGTGTTTAGCTCGAAACCATACATTCAATTTGCATTAGTTAAAAGTTTAAACTAGTTACAAAAGTTTTTGCCATATAATCATGTTAGAAAAATCTAATTATTTAAATTTAACTCCTAAATCTGTTTTTTTTTTTCTAACTTTAAAAACCTCGTTATAGCAACATGAATATTTATTAGTTATGGTTTTTAAAATTAAATCAGAAGTGGAAAAATTAAATAAAACTTTATACATATATTTTTTAAAGATAAAGAAATTTATTTTTATAGCACAAATAAGATATATATATTTATTTTAAGTGATAATGTCCTTAGTCATTTGATCCTAATAAGATTGATTGGTTAAAGATATATATAACAACCGACAAAGTAATATATAGGGCCTATATATTATATATATAACTTAAAAAGAAATATAAAATTTAAAAAGAAAAATAAACAAATTTTATAATTAAAAAGTTTTTTTAAAAATATAAATTACGTTAATACAGAGCATATATATAACTTAACATTATGATGCATTCAATAAGATATAAAATTCTTTAAATAATTTACTTAAAATATTTTACAATTTATACATATTTCTATCTTAAAAACACTAAAGCGATTTAATATTTATTGAAAGAGTTGTACAATCTTATTTTATTATCCATTAAAACTTTAGTAGATATAAAGTACAATAATTTTAATTTAATATTGTGAATAATATTCTCGAGAAAAAATTTATTTGAATAAAAAATAAAATAAATTCATAAATATTAAATATAATTTCTGTAAGAAACTTTTCTTAGCAAAATAATCAAATATATTTTGAATTATTTATGTTTATTTTCTAGAAGGAATATATACATATATTCTAAGGAATATTATGTATGTCTGTTAAGAAATAATGATTATTTTGTATTTCAAGTTGATATTAATCTATTCGGATGCTTAAAGTAAATAAAGTGTGGTAGGTCATACACTTATAAATTTTTATCAAAGCAAGCTTTATTCATCTGCTGTGTAGCCAAATAAAATTATAGCTATAGTGCGTATTCTTAATCGTAAAACAATTGTAAAACTAAATATTAAATTTAATTTTAGTTTAGTTTTAAAGTAAAGGAATTAAATTTTTCTAATTTATCCGAATTTATAAAACTTTTAAATCTATAGACAGGAATTTAATAGAGGAGAATAAGACAACAGTCAGATATATCAATGTTGACGGACTGATAACAGCCGCATCGTTTTAAATATTAATTGAAGTCTAAAGGAGGCATTCGTAAAGCATTTATAGTACATAAAACTATTTAAGAGTGTTCACATGAAATAGACCCACCAGTGCCCGAGTGGATAAAATCACTAAACACAGTTAGACGTGGGTTCGCGCCTGGTTAACAGGCTAGACTCATGGAGTTTACCGGATTTTTTCACGTATGTTACACCTAAATAGGGGCCAGTTTTTCATAGGCATCCTCCCTCGGCAGGTCGCCCACGTGTCGCATTTCCGTATATAAATAAACCAATTATAAAAGCAGTGATAACTATTGTTTTATCTTAGACTTTTATTGCTGTAGTTGATCTGTTGACATGGTTGGTTAGTTCATACGACATGTAGTTGAATTACTTCTCTCGGCCTTACTTGTTCAAGTAATTGTTCAATAGATGAGAAAAACAATGCTGATAAAAATTTTAATAATTTATGAAAGGTTAGGCTTATTTCTTTGTAAACGATGGTTTATACCATCACTTTAATTAAATAAGTTTTTTCCGATTCATCCTATCTGTATAGTACCCTATTGGGATTTTTTCTCCACCTCATTCCTTCTTTCTTCCTTCCTTTCAGCCTAAACCTTTAAGTAGGTTCTACCTCTACTAATAATAATAGCAAAATTGAAATAATTCGCTTTAAATCACTCTTACGAATAATAATTTCTTGTAATTTACGTTTTCTTTTAATAAAAAAGGACAGTAATTTTTAAAATTTATACTAGCCTGCTCGGCTTCATAAAATATAATTTATTATTAATTAATATATTTTGCTCGTTAATTATCATTACATTAATAAAATATGTGCTATATTTTATGTATTACTTTATTAAAGTTAGTAGGAATTGCAAATACGAAACGACCATAAAACAATAAAAATAAATTTATTCCTCAATTTGAATTACCATAATTTTATTGTAAGAATATAATTGAATTTTTTTTATAATTACATTTTTATACATAATATATAATGTTATATATTGTGTACGTAATATATAACCTAGTTGCTATATAGTTGAGATGGAGAAACACACCACACACACATAAACACAACTAAAACACTTGGGTATAATAAAAATTAATTTTTATTTAATTATTTTTATGCTCGAATAGCCATCTTTTGTATTTTACAACAGATAAGATAGCTCATAGAGTAATATTCCCTACCTAGACATGCATTATAAACTTTCTTCTATATCCTTTCTTTTATAATGTTAACTTACAATTTTTCCATTTTCAAAAGATGAACTTTACAGAAAGAAAGGAGTTTTCTCTCTTCCTATATAATAAAAGATTTCGTGAGACATGTTTACAACAGCACAAAACACAGTTACTTATTTACAATTTTGTTCTTCAATTCCGAAACATATGAAATATTAAAATGATTTGGAAAGAGAAAAGGATGTAGAGTAAAATAAAAAATATCATTTATATGAATTTCTATATTCAGTCACTCCCAGAAAATTGAATAAAAAATATTAAAGTTAATATAAAATTCATATTAACGAAGAAAACTTTGAAGATGACAATTATTTCTTTAGTACAATCTTCTATAATTTACACCGTTCAAGATATAAAACAGAGCTTCTCATACACATAAATTAAACAAGATTAGGGCCTCGCTCTCCGAAGGGCCTCCATAAACAATTCGTACCTATTGTCAATTATTGCTTGATGTAGGGAAAGAGATTTCATATATTATAGCTTAGGGCCAAAATAATGTAAATTAATCCATACATAGAAGATACGTCAGTTGTATAAAATTTAATATTTATAATTAAATTTAAAATAAGAAAAGATTTCTTATATCTTCACCTTTAAAAATTACAATATATAAGGAAAAAAAAGAGGATGAGAAGTCTAAGAAGGATGAGAAGTCTAAGAAGGCCGAGTAGGATGAGAAGTCTAAGAAGAGAATTGAAACAGTAGTGAAGAGGACATCGATACTGGAATTCAATAAAACAAGTTTGTATTGACAATATGAAAATAAAAATTACAATAATAAGGGAATTGATGATCTTTTACCACGAAAATATTTGTTCGATAACTCTATTGGCCATCCTACAGTGTTTAGTAAAGTATTTGAAAATAACACTTGTTAATATTATAGAGGGATTTAGGCGAAAGAAGATTTGGACTTACATAAAAATATGATTTTATCAGAGAAAAAAGATTAGTGCTGGGTAATATTCCAATGATAATCTTCTTACTGGAAATTCTCTCTATATTATTTGCAATTCTTAATTCTGGATATAAAAGTATCCAAGTGCAGTAAATCCCAATTAATATCAAGATTCAATTCCAGATTTTCTTAAAATATGTGATGTACTTCCATCTTTAAAATATTTATTTAATTTTGACTGTAGGGAGTGACACAAAAGTTAATTAACCGTGGAACATCCAAAAAATACATGCATAATCTATATATTTGTGTTGGGTATATTGTGTCCATGTATAAATGCAAAATACAATGTTTTGTGTTTTCACGATGCTTGTAAAGTTGAATCATGTAGTATACTTGTAAGTAATTTGTGTATTGAACAAGAAGAATCTAAATTTAAACAATATAAAAGTAACTACAGATGTAATTAAATCAATTGTATTTTTTAATGATGTTTTTGCCAAGTTTTGCAAAACACGATGGAATCTTGACATAGTAAACTCTCAATAGAGTAATCCTCTGAGAGTTCTCTACATATTAATAAACTCTGAAATTCTCAAAGAACTCTCAAATCTAACTTATTTACCATATCAAAAAAAAAGTCCAGTTTAAGGGTCAAGTTTAATTTTTATATAATTAAATTAATTTTATAGAAATAATAAAATTTATATTATATTACCACATGTGAATATATTAAGAACAAACAAGTGTTAACGTAATAAATTTAATAATATAAAATGACTAGAATACTCTTATTCGTGTCATGTTTTCTAAAGAGAATTAAAATATACATTTCATATAAAAAATATAAATAAGAAACTCACTTCGCAACAAATAAGTATTTCGAATATACAGTACATAAGTATTTATGTATGCATTTGACCATCACACATTTGAATTTTTTTGAAGTATGAATAAGAAAACATTGGCATTTCAAAGTATTTCAACAAATAAATAAATATCGAATCGTATAATTAAGATTAAAAAAATAAAAATATCATAATTAACATCTTCCTTAATTATAAAAGTTGAGATTTAATCCCCAGATAGACGAGGTCTGCAGACATATTTTCCACGACCGAGTCAGGAAGGCCCTAAATTCAGTCTTCTATGTAAACGCTTGACACGAAAGTAATATAAAAATCAATTTTTATCTCTTGCTAAACATTAGTTTTTCTGTTTTATTAATTTTTATTCGTATATTTTATAGTAGGGCCTTATATTTGTGAGTGATTTAATCTATCTCATTCCAGCTCATGGTATAGATTCGGCGAACTTGATTGTATTCCGACCTTTGTGCCAGGATTATCCTGAATTGTTGTGTCCTGAGTTATAATAAACGAAGCTTCTTCCCTCCACTAAATAATAATAAATTTAAAAATATAAAGACTAACCTATACTCTCGTAACATGAGGTTTTAGTTTAACTGTAAATCCGGACTGCCATGGAATCAGATAACAATTTTAAATATTTTTTTTTATAAGAGTTTTATTATTTGCTTGAAAGAATATTCTATAACATTTTTTATATATTACATGAAATATTGTTTAAAGTAAATATAATCCATAATAAGAATTCTACATCGCGATATTGAAAAAGTATTGATTCAATAAAAGTAATATTTATTTTTTTTAAATATTCTAAAACAAATTCTAAAAACGAAAAGTAGAATTTCTGACTGAAGAAAAATAATATAAAACAAAATAAAAAAGCTGACAAGGGATCTTGCTCGACTTTCCCAGCACTCGAATAGGAGGACATTTGGAACAGGTGGTCGGTGTTCGCGCCTGGCCAACTAGCTGACCACGTGGAATTTTCTGGGTTTTCTTCACTTAATAACACCTAAATATGGACAGTTTCCAACAAAAGACTTCTCGACAGAATGTTCATTGTTGCGTTGCTGTACACGAATAAAATCAATCGAACAGGAGTTTAAGGAGAAAATTAGAAAGTCCGATCATTTTCAATTTTACTAGGATATAAAATTTAAATCATAACTAAAGCTTAAAAAGAATAATGTTCTTGAATTTTAAATATTTAAACTAAAAAAATACTCTATGACACTAGCTAAAAGTTACAATTGTGTATGGCGCTTTCTGTTACGAGATGTTATTAAAAAATAACTTTTATATTATTAATTATTATTAATATAAAAAGAGAAAATGCTTAATTTTTAGGGTAGAGATGAGATTTTAAAAATGTTGTAAATACCAATAGGAAGTGAAATTATCATTAAGTTCGACTCCACTCGAGATATGATATATGACCCCACTCTATCTCCCCATTCCTCGACTTTTAACTACCAAAATTTAGTAGAATCCATTCTTATTATATACAAGTTATAATGCCAAATTTCGCTTCTTAATCTCTATCATATCCTGCGATATTAANGTAAATTTATGTTACGAAATATATTTTAGGATTTAAACAATATTTATTTTTTAATTTTCACTAAAATTTCACATGTAATAATTCCTTCAATTATAAATATGACCTTGGATTTTCTCTTTTGATAAGTCTTTGAAGTGTTCAGTCCATCGATCGCTGTTTTCTGCTCGGTTAATCTTTACTAGTTATTAAAATTTAATCTTGTACTGTTGTACGAAACCTCGCGAGCAAATTTCCAAGTTTCCACTTTAAGAATTATTGAATATGTAACGTAATATTTAATTAAAATTGTATCAAACTCAATATCAAAGCGACAACGTCACAGTAGAGAGTCCAATATTAGGCTTCGAAACTTAAACATTAAAACTTCATCAAACAGAAAAATAATGATGTTAATTCAATATATCGTACAGTCTCGATATAACGAACTTATTAAACGTTTATTATATCGAGATTTTGCTATATACAATACATAAATAACAGAAAAGATCAACAAAATTATTCACTACATCGGATGTCACTATATCGAGAATTTACCTTATGTAAAAAATCAGCTTGATGCTTATATCTAAAAATTCTGTTTTATGTTTTCTGTATTATACACAGTATTTTGTATCAATTAAAAATATATAAATATTATCCCCAATAAATAAATTTTTATTAAAATGTAAAATAAATAAATTTAGAATATTACCAACGATTTTGATGTTTTGACTTTTATAAAATTCCAAGAGGGATTTTATTAATGTTGCACGTGGTATTTGCATGAACAATTACTGTAATATACCATTTTAGCTTTATACAAGAAGGAATATTTAATGCAAATAATTAATTTTGTGTAATATTCTATGTTATAAATGTGCAAGAGAGGAAGAAAATAGAATTAAAAAAGTCTTAAGTATATTCTTTATTGTTGCCACAAATAATTCAAGCACAGAGCGTGTACTCTATGTCTTTTTTTGTTAAACATTGAAAATAGATACGTAACACCTATATTATGTTAAATAATATAAATAAATAAATATATAATATATATATATATAATGTANTAGGAAGTGAAATTATCATTAAGTTCGACTCCACTCGAGATATGATATATGACCCCACTCTATCTCCCCATTCCTCGACTTTTAACTACCAAAATTTAGTAGAATCCATTCTTATTATATACAAGTTATAATGCCAAATTTCGCTTCTTAATCTCTATCATATCCTGCGATATTAAGCGAAATAGTCTCCAAAACACAAACTAATTTTTTTTTGTCTTTTTGGGTTTCACGGAGTTTCAAAAGATGAAAATTTGTAAAAAAAAAAAAAAAAAAATTCGAAGGGCCAAATTTAACACGATTACAATACTTTCTCGTGTCTTTCGATTAAAATATTCAATTATAGATTTTAATTCAAAATAAAAATGAATATATTATTATTATTTGTTTAAAACTAAATTTTTTAAAAAATATTCTTATAATTTTACCCCTATTTTTATTATTTTATCCTTGAAATTGTAAATTTCTATCATAGTAAATTGTCATTTTGGAAATGCCAAATCACAATCCATGTTATAAAATGAAAAATAGGCGAGACATTTCGTGATATAAATGTCAAAAATATAAAATTCACTATTTTCAGTCTTGAATGAATTTTGCATTACAGAAAATCGACGTGGTTGGTTTCGAAAAGTATTTCTCTATTTTTAGACACGGAGAATATATTTCCCTCTATTTTAAGTTTGTATATATTATGCTTGTATGGTATAATACTGCGTTATAAACGGGAACGTATGCTATATTATCCGTTATCAGAATGCTTCTACCAATGGATTGCACGGATAAGTGAAGTTAGGGACATGGTAGTTCTTCAACATGAATTCGAACGATAATAAATTTATGGTTGAGACGATTTGAAGTGAAGAATTCCTAGCAAAGAATTACTGTTTGTAAAAGAGAAAAGACAATAAAATAATATTTTTCATGATCATGTTAGGGTAATTTGGTTACATTGCAATGAATATTTTTTAAATGTGACAAACTAGCAAATTCTAACAAAACTGAAAATGAGATGTTAAGATTTTTTACAACGCAAAGTGATACTTCGCAACTCAAATTCAATTCATTCCTTGAGCGCCAGAAACTTCGAGTTCCAAAACAAATTTTTCATAAGGAATAAAGTAAATTAATCCCGTTTTCACATCCACAAAATGCTAATTTTAACTGTAAAAAGTCATAATTTAAACTAAAATAACACAAGTAAATGTCCTACTTAATGCAATAAAATCCAGTAGATGAACTCTGCACATATATTAAAAAATAAAATATTGAAAAAAATTAAAAAATTGTGTTTANAATTTTAAGTTTTGTATAATGGATTCTTTCAAATAATATCTTAAAATAAAAAATTCTAAGTTAATTCTTTTTTAATTCAATAAATAATCACATATGTAAACCGTACAGTACATTAAATACAGCTACATTTGCATTAATTTATAACATTTTCCGCCATTTAAATTGGCAGTAAATCGAGACTGGCGCTAAACCGAAGTATCTCAATCAATAAAAATTATATATAGTGAGAATAAATTGAAGTTTGAAAATTACGTGATTGGATGCTAACAATGTTATTTATAGTACAAATTCGTAATTTACTAATGTACTTTCGTACGACTGTAAAAATGTTAAAATTTAGTTCAATATCGAGACTCTTCTCGGTATAGTGAACTCTTACTCATTCACTACATCGAAAGTTCGTTATGTACAGTACATTAAGAATAGCAAGGATCAACAGAATTGTTCGCTATATTAAAGATGGTCACTGTATCTGATTAATGCTGTTGCTGATTATTTCCTAGAAACAAAAAAGGAATAAATTTCAACAATTACTTTTAATAATTAAATTAGTTTCAATTTTCTACAAAGTTTTAAAAGCAATATGAAGTTGTTCTTTAAGTTCTGTTGTTTAAATTTAATTCAATTAAGTAAAATTGGATTGCGATTCAATGAAGTCGATTGAACACATTCAGTAAAATATTTACAAAGTCGAAACTATTTCTTCAGACTTAAGTAATGCTTTTTAAATTAAATTATATTAGAAAATTAATTAATCCTCTTGACGATTAAATGATAATAAAATGTATTAAATCATTTCTTATTAGAGAAATGATTATTATGTTTACCTAATTATGATTAGCAAGATGTATAATGATGCCATTTACGAATGTCAATTTATGATTTTGTTTAAAATTTATTTTTATTACAGTAAATTGTACTTATTATTTTGTATCTCGTTGGTAAAAGTTCCTTTTGAGAGTCATACTTAAGACACAGAAACATGAGGCGCCAGCCTGAGGCCTGAAGATATAGGGGTCCCCAATAAAGTTAATGATAAAACTAGTCATGCAAAGATACATCAATACATAGAGCCCGAGTGCAACAAGAAATTAGACTCTAGAGATTTCAAATAAAAATATTTTTTTTTTAGATTCTGATATCTATAAAGGGGCCACAAGTAGAGTTCTTCGTGTCTCGAATCACGAGGAGTGTAAGTTTATTTGTATATAGAAACATGACATGTAGACAATCGGTCCAGGGGTGCCTCCCTGGAGGACTTTCCGTAATAAACTGGCCCTACAAACATGAAGAAAACCCGGAAAAATCCATGTGGTCAGTCCGTTTTCGAGGCTCAAACCCACGATCAGTTTCAGTGGTGTTATCCACTCGACTACTAGAGTGTAGGTACTTTCGAGTTTCTGATTCCCCAGTAAAGTGGAATTAATTTGAAATATTGCCAAATTTAAACGACTATTTTTTAATAGAACACAATTCTTATACAGTTTTTTTAATACTTGACAGAAATTGTGATAATCCAACTCACTAGTGTCCAAATTAAGAAATTTCCTATTCCAACTCACGTGTCAAAGAGCTTAAAATTGATTTATAGATTAACATAGAACAAACGACTTTAAGCATTAATGAGA